GCAAGACGGGCAGCTAATGTTGGAGGAAGGTCAGGGGTTGTGTAGGTGGAGCAGCGCGTCATTTGGCTGTTAAGGAGGTATTTAGTGGTGCGTTTGAGGAAGCGATGCGCTGGTGTGGCTGGGCGGTAATGGAGGCTGGATACTGTGTGCTGGTTGATGCTAGGCTGTGTAGCGTTCAGCGTATATTGCCACGCAGCAAGTGCGGATAATTGCAAGATGAGGCGCATCGGCGTGTTGCACACTGCATTGGATTTGGCAGCTGCAGCGCTTTGGATTGCGTGGGGGATGGGGGAAGCTGAATGGGGGTACTATGGTGTAGAGTGTGTGACACGCGGCGGCGCGAATTTGAGTATGGGTTGTGATTAGGAAGGAGGCGAAGTGGTATATTGGGAGTTGGTTAGGAGTATTTGAGTGGCCGATATTTGTTGGAGTGGATGCCTTTGCATACAGCAAGACGGGCAGCTAATGTTGGAGGAAGGTCAGGGGTTGTGTAGGTGGAGCAGCGCGTCATTTGGTTGTTCAGGGGGTATTTAGTGGTGCGTTTGAGGAAGCGATGCGCTGGTGTGGGTGGGCGGTAATGGAGGCTGGATACTGTGTGCTGTTTCATGCTAGGCGTTCTAGCGTTCAGCGTATATTGCGACGCAGCAAGTGCGGATAAATGCAAGATGAGGCGCATCGGCGTGTTGCACACTGCATTGGATTTGGCAGCTGCGGCGTTGTGTATTGAGTGGGGGATGGGGGGAAGCTAAATGGCGGTAATGTAGTGTAAAGTGCGTGGAGCGAAGCGGGGGGTATTTGCGGATGGGTTGTGATTAGGAAGGAGGCGAAGCGGTATGTTGGGAGTTGGTTAGGAGGATTTGAGTGGCCGATATTTGTTGGAGTGGATGCCTTTGGATACGGCAAGACGGGCAGTTAATGTTGGGGGAAGGTCAGGGGTTGTGTACGTGGAGCAGCGCGTCATTTGGTTGTTAAGGAGGTATTTAGTGGTGAGTTTGAGGACGCGATGCGCTGGTGTGGGTGGGCGGCAATGGAGGCTGGATGCGTTGTGCTTGTTCATGCTAGGCTATGCAGCGTTCAGCGTATATTGCGACGCAGCAAGTGCGGATAAAAGCAAAATGAGGCGTAGCTGCGTGTCAGACACTGCATTGGATTTGGCAGCTGCAGCGCTGTGAATTGCGTGGGGGATGGGGGGAAGCTAAATGGGGGTAATATAGTGTAGAGTGTGTGACGCCAAGCGGAGGGCTTGAGATTATGTGTTGCCTTTTGGAAGCATCCGCAGCGGTATTCTGGGAGTTGGCTAGGAGGATTTGAGTGGCCGATATTTGTTGGAGTGGATGCCTTTGCATACGGCAAGACGGGCAGCTAATGTTGGAGGAAGGTCAGGGGTTGTGTAGGTGGAGCAGTGCGTCGCTGTGTCGTAGAGCAGGTATTTAGTGGTGCGTTTGAGGACGCGATGCACTGGTGTGGGTGAAGACTAATGAAGGCTGGATACTGTATGCTGGTTCATACTAGGCTGTGTAGCGTTGAGCGTATATTACCTTGCAGCGAGTGCGCATAAATGCAAGATTAGGCGCATATGCGTTTTGAACACTTCATTGGATTTGGCAGCTGCAGCGCTGTGCATTGAGTGGGGTTGGGGTGAGGCTAAGTGGGGGTAATATAGTGTAAGGTGTGTGACAAGAAGCGGTGTTTGTTTGAGTATATGTTGTGATTAGGAAGGAGGCGATGTGGTATATTGGGAATTGGCTAAGAGTATTGGAGTAGCCGATATTTGTTGGAGTGGATGCCTTTGGATACGGCAAGACGAGCAGCTAGTGCTGGAGGAAGGCCAGTGGTTGTGCAGGTGGAGCGGTATGTCATTTTGTGGTTGAGGAGGTATTTAGGTGGAGCAGTGTGCCATTTGGTGGTTGAGGATGTACTTAGTGGTGCGTTTGAGGAAGCGATGCGGTGGTGTGCGTGCGCGGTAATGGAGGCTGGATACTGTGTGCTGGTTCATGCTAGGCTGTGTAGCGTTCAGCGTATCTTGCCACGCAGGGAGTGCGGATGAATGCATGAGGCGCATATGCGTGTTGAGCACTGCATTGGATTTGCAGCTGCAGCGTTGTGCATTGCGTTGGGGATGGCGGGAGCGTAAATGGGGGTAACATAGTGTAGAGTGTGCTAACACACTGCTTTGGGTTTGGCCGCA